TTGACTCACTCACTAACTAAGGGGTCAATTCACAAAGATAAACGTTATTGGTTTCCTTCAGTTGTTAAATTACCGTCCCTTATTTAACGCTAGCAAACATGGTATTCACTAAAGCTATAATCGTTATTCAACATAGTCGTTATGGTTTTCTACTGACTCGTTATCCAATCGTTATGCTAACGTTTGGAACGTAATTTTATTTAGATGAACGATATTTTAACTACTCAAGAGTTATTCTAACGTCCCAAAGCGTAATAATAACGTCTAAGATTGTCAAATAACGCTGGAGAGATCTGGGAGCAGAAGGGGAGGAGAACAGTGCTTCTTAAGGACGTGTTTCCGCTGCGATTGCGTCCTTTGCCCCGGATGTGGAAAAGAGCGGATGCAGAGAGAGAGAGAGAGAGAGAGACAAGCCGACACACGTGCAGATCGAGCACGTGATGTGCAAAACACAGCAGCAAACATGAAACGTAGTCTAAGGGAGCTCTTCCAAACCATTGTAAGTCATAATTATCTTTATTTTGTTTTTCTTTACAGCAAGGGAGGACGGGAGGGCGGCTTGTGTTTGAGGGGTTGATGGTAGAATAAATAGTTATGTTTCTTTATTGGATATATATTGGATTATATAAATCAGAACAACATGCTGACGTGTTCTTCTTCGCCTCTGGATAGTTTTAAGTTCAAATAGAGCACACCCAAATGGTTCCATCTTGCCCCAAACTACCAAGCACTTTCACTACAAAAATGAAGAACTGAATTTACCGCCAAAAGCTTCCTCTAACAAAGAAATACCGCCAGGGAAATGTCATAACGACACCCTGAGGGAGGTGCTTATGTAACGATTGCTAAACGATCGATATCTTGCAAAAAAATCTTTGTGAATTGCACTTCAGTACATATTTAACAATTTGACTTGTTAAAACAATGATCAAAGTGTTTAATAACGATCCACACCTTAAAATATCAGTTCCGTGTAGTGAGACATTATTTAATGATTTTTCTAAGCGTTAAATCGTGTGGTGAATTGAACAGGAGAGTGCGAAATCGCTGAAATAACGAGCGGAATCTGGAAAAAAAGCTTTGTGAATTGACCCCTAAGTCTATTATAATTATCAACTATTCTTTTAGAAAAATAATACTTTTTTGAGCTTTCTTCCTGTTAGTTTGAGGTCATGTCCCCATGTTCCTGATCATAGCCAGTGATTTGCAAATGTACTTGGGTTCAGTTTGAAGGACGTTCAGCCACTTGTCATGAAACTCGCCATAGCGGTCAATAGGAGGTGAATCTTTCTTGCCCATTACAAGGCTAATAGGCAAGGAATTGCCAAGCAAAGGGTATAGAAAACTGGCCATTGCCCTGGTGGACATGAACTAATGCTAAACACTAATACACAGTGGGGATCAGCTCTTTTAATAAGACTTAAAGTAAAACATAAAAAATACAAAATTCCGTTAAATAGCATGCTTGGGCAATGCAAGCTTTTGTCTATCTAAGAATCTAATATATGTCATCACTATATCCAAATGCTCAAAATTGAATACATCTTGTATTTTAAGTTTGGAGTTGTATTATGTTGCCTAAAACTGCTCTGAATATGAGTAATACGTGCAGTTTTTTTTAAGAGAGCTAAGACTGAAGCAGCACAGACATTCCAACTTGTTTGTATGCTGTAATCACAGTGGTTTGGTTTCCCTCTGGTTATTTCAGCTTTTGCACTTGTAACAGTTGTGTGTAGAATTCAATTCTAAATTGAATATTTCTGCTACATATGAATAATGAAAACACAATATTCAGATATAATACCATTGCATTGTTTATTTCCTTCACAAACAGGGCATTAATGATGGAGTTTGTCTTGTTTCCATGCTGCATCCAATAACACCTTAAACATTTCACTGACAGGGATGCTCAAGGGACCCAGGTACAAGCTGAAGGCATGTATATGTCTAATGGTTTTGCTATATCTTCACTTTTTCTGGGGCATGTCAGAACAGCACTAAGCCTAAAGGCACATTCATTTGCATGGGTCACAGGAAGCCCTGAGGCTTAGTACTGTTTAGTACATATAGCGAAAATCTTTTTAGAAATATGTGTTATGTTGGCATAATGTTTATTTTGCTTTGGTGGGTCCCATCTCTAGAAATGTAACTGATATTCCGGTCATAAAAACACCATATTTCTCTATCAGCTAAAAATGTTTATTCTTAGTGCCAATTTATTATAAAAGCATTCTTGACATATTTGTAATTAGGGCCCATTCACATTTCATTCTGTGCCCTACAATGTACCAAAACTGTGTGTAAAAAGTTACCATTATGATCCATGAAGCTTTGTATTTGTTCTAAAAAATCCTGCTTGCTGCGCTTTACAGTATAGTCAATGGCAATGCATGGGGAAACACACTAAAAACGCAGCATGGATTATAAATAGTGCATTTGCTCATTGAGCAAATCACATGTATGTTTTCTATGCACAGGTGTAAAGGTGGCCATACACTCTACAACCATCGCAAGACTTTAGTCTAACAAGATCTTATTATTGGATAGAAAAACAAAAGACCAAGGCTTAATACATACAGTCACTGAATGGAGTAAGTGGACATCTGGTTTACCAAGGTTCACCCAGAAGCTAGGAGAGGGGACTCACATGTGACGGGCAAAATAAGTGACAGTGGCCGCAGTCATTACAGTGTGTTAATATCCAAACAACACGCAGCAATGTGCAGTCGATGCTTTGCAAAGCACTAATGTATACAGAGTCAATGGAACTAGAATAAACACCAAGTTTTCCTTTTTCTGATTGAGTGAGTTAAGCCTAAGGTCTCACTTACATGGCCGCAGAGGGCTGTACATCATCCAGAAGGTGTGCATTTCAGCATTCGGGAGACACAGGTGTTTGAGTGCAGCAGTGGCAGCAGTCTGTACAAACTAGTAACAGACAGACTTTTTTGGGGGATGGGCTTGTTTGCATACATTTTTCAGAGAATACTAGCTGAATTTGTCCTATTTTTCCTTATTACTACAGTAGAATGGGTACTTTAGTAAAGTGAGAATTAGCAGGTTCTGAACATTTCTTTCAAAGAAAGCATCCAAAAGCAAAAAAATAGATCAGTTGCTACTCACATTGCATATTTTTTGGCTGGAGTGGAACTAAACAGGAAGCTTAGTACTCAGCCATGGTTCAGGGATGAATTAACTTCCATGCACATGCACTGGAGTTTCGTCATCCCCAGTCACCCAATCAAGATGGTCAAAAATGCTAAACCCAGAAAAAGCCTGGATAAAGATGTGAGGGAGATCACGGCCACAGCAGCACAAAAGGAGGGTGCTTTGGGAGGTAAGTCTATCATAATATGCTGTGCATACTTGCACGTTATGGCAAAACACCTGGGTGCCAGCAGGGGAGTTTAATTTCACTTTAAGTTTGTGATTTTCTTAGAGTTCTTTTACCTCTCTGCAATATGAACAAGCAAACCATTATATTTTATACAGTAATGCTTATGCAAACATGTTTCAAGAGATGACAACATTGGTTTTATTAAATGTACACACCAGTGTGTAAAACTACAGTTTGAGGCTTGATGCAGATCACAGAAACAAGACTCTCTGTAGCCTATGTATAATGCAACTGTCTCTCCTTTCACTGCAGGTTCTTAATTCATTTTAGATTATTTGTCTTGAAGGTCATTAGGAAATTATACAATTATTTGCTATTTAAAAATGATATGTGGCCCACGTATCAAGTCCTGACCATTGAAACCTAACATTTATTCAGCTTCTAAGATTTTTCATTTGCCAGCAGCTACATAGGTACACTAATACTTTTTTCTTATATTTCTAAGAAAGGTAGGACCAAAAATAATGGGTATAAAAGTATAAAATAATTCTATTTTAGATCTATTAGCTATTGTCTTTATCCCTCATTGGCTCATGTCCATTTCCCTTAGAAGTAGCTTGCCCTCATTCCTTGTTTGTCAGCTATGGAAAGGGGGATAGAAGTATCTGGAGGTCCCTATTTTGTCCATATTTACAGACCCTCATTCTCGTCATTATTTATCCCTGCATGAGCAAAGCAAAACATTTTTTTAAATATATTTTTTGTCAAAAAACCATGAAAACAATCCCAACATATAACAAAGACATGTGCCCAACAAAAATGTGTGGTGCACACCAGTAGAATAGAAGAAAAGTCACCAGCACTTAGTACTTTAAGGTGTAAAAGTACTCTAGTTTACTGATAAAGCCTCACATAGAGCAAAAGAGCCTTTATTTCAGGGCCATGCATGGTCACTACTTCAAGGCGACACAGTGCTATTGTGTCTTCTTGAGGAAGGGACCCTGCACGGACCTACAACATTGGCTTATTTGGACTTTATATGACACTTTATCAATTACTTTTGCACCTTAAAGTATTGAGTGCTGGCGACGATTTTACTTTTTGGTGGATTAACATGGTGTGATCCATAGTTGTCACAACAAGCACCCCCATATTAACTTTGGTTGTAGCTCTGTATTGAGTGCAGCTGGTATCTGCAGCTTTCTAAAGCCTACCACATTTCTGTTGTGATTTATACCATCCCCTTGTTTCAGAGACCCTAGATAAACACTTTTTTTTTTGCTCCTTCCTCCTATGGATCATCAGCCTTTTTCCAAGAGGGAAGGGGGGCGCCATTATAAAAATGATTAAATAAAACTTTTTTCTTTGCTCATGCAAGCACAGACGATAATGAGAATGAAGGTCAGAAAAGTAAAGTTTTTGCAGTCAGGGCTTGATATGCTGGCCACATATCCTTTTAAAATGGCAGCATCTTTATGTTTTTAATAGGAATTTCTGAGAATAATTTACATTTATTGTGAAAAAAATAATTCTACAAAATGGTTGGTAACCAAACAAGTAAAGCCAGTATAAAATGTGTCATAGTTCCCACAGTACAACAATATTTTGCAAAATCAGTACTTATCATGCTTGCCATACCATATATTTTACAACACTTGACACATTATTTGCTTGTTAAAATAAAAATCTGTGAGGAACACAAGCATTTCTTATCAGTCCATTTCTTTGATCAAATGTTCTAATTCCGACAATATTTTGCTTAGGTCAAAAGGCATTGGCATAGATGGATCATCCTCTTCCCAATATGGATAGCACTGAGGCCTCTGGTCCACTGGTAATGACTTTGCTAATTTGCATCTGCACCTGCAGAAAAAAATACATATAAGACTTTAAAATTACCTTTATCAGAACATGATAAATCAGTTCATTGTTACTGGTACCCAACAATCAAGTTTCCAATTAAAACAACATATACTAAGTTGTCTGCTTATAGGAAAATTCCCAGATTTTTCATACCATATACTATACTATTGTATATAGTGTTTGTACCTTTGAACACACATTTACATACAATAAGCTTCTGTATTACATAACTAGACAGATTAATTCGATGTTAGCTTTTCGTTTCATTAAAAAATCATTGTACTTAATTAAAATAAATCATCTTAGCCATTATTCTCTTCCTTAGTGATGAGGATTTATTACCTTATAAAGTATAACAGCTTTTGAGCTATTAAGCACATTTCAATACTCACTCCCAAAATAGAAGACAAACCCAGTTAAAGAGTTGTAACACATGGGCACATTACATTTCCAGTGCTTATCAATTTAGAAGAGTACTGGTGTTAAAAGCATTGCACTTCTGTCTTCAATAACTCAGATTGTTTAAAAGAGAATTCCAGCTAATACCACAACGCTTTCAAATACAAAAGTAAATTTTAATAATGCACAAAGATAAGGAGATACAAGTTTAATAACACACCAAAAACAATGTGTTTTGTTACCAGCAGTCTTAATACAGCCATTGCTAATCATTTCATGAACACAGGGCTCTTTTTGTGCAATGTTCAGAAAAATTTGTTTAGTCAATGCACTGGCCACTGTCCTTACATCTGTGAGAATATGGATGTCTTGTAATGTGGAGCAGTGATAATGTGCTGCATTTTGCATCACAAGGAAACCCTATTTGAAAAGTGATAAGCACAAAAATATACACATCTAGAACATTTAAGAAGCTATCCAAACATATGAAACAGTGGTCATCTGAGTTAGGCAAACTATTTTTTTACTTGTGGGTGACCCTGAGCCTGCCAGCCAGTTGGTAGCAAGCAACTGGAGAATTGGTAGGTAGCCAGTATTGGCAGCCCCTACTCAGTTCCTTTCCATACCTCCCCACTCCTATTGAACATAAAGTTGCCTTGGAAAATCCCAGCTAAGTTTTTCACAGATTTTGTACCTGGAGTGTAAGCACAATTTGACTGACTATTTGTGGTCAGCTTAAGGCAGAAGTTGGTTCAGAGGTAGGAAACACATGGTTAGACTTGCCAAAACAGAAGTTTATCACTGTTATAAAACTTGCTAAGAGCTAGTATTAAAAATAAACCCTTCAGGATTATTAACCACATAGATATTTGAGCCAGTATCACTTGAACAACAAATAAAATGCTTCAAAGCCTGATATGGACTTCAAAAGGAGCATCATGAAATACCCTGGACAAGCTTCTCCAGATCAGAAGGAAACAAGCATCCAAAAGCAGAATTAATCTCTATGTAAATAGGCAAAGCATTGTATAATATTAGCAGTCACGGTACTGAGGGGAATTGTAACTTAAAGTAGATAAGAATAATGCAATATTTCAAATAAGAACAGCATTACTTGTTTGGTTTATATATGGCGCAAAGCTCACAATTCCATTTACCATCCCTATGTCATGGAACCCATACTTCAGTTTTCATAATGTCCCTTTTTTAAAATACAAATTACATATAATGAATAAAAATCCACTAATCATCACCAGACAAGTCCAAAATCTGTTTTCATTCTCCAGTAAAACTAAATAGGACCATGTCATCAATTGGGCTTTGATAAGCAACAGATACATGTTCTGTGCCTTCTAAAATCTAATATTTTTATTTCCTATCAAACTTTTTTGTGTGTTTGTGTTTTGTGTCAAGCAGAGAATGATAAAGGAGTTCTAAAGTCAACATATACCATCCTGTTATAACATCAGCATTGAAATAGGAATACATGCCATAGTTGTTTTTGATAATGCAATCAAAGCTTACTTGAAAAAAATAATTTGTATTTAGTGGGTGCTGCCATGAGTCTGCCCATCACTTTCAACAACTTCTTGGATTCCCAGTGTGCTTTGCAATTCTTTCCCTGCTGCTTGACATGATGCAATCTCAATTTCTCAAGACTACATATCCCATCATGCATTGCTTCCAACAAGCAATTATAATGTTTGGGGATGCACTGATAGATCGGCCGCCGAAAAATTTCGGCCGAAAATTGCACTTTTGGCAAAATGCTGAAAGTGCTATTTTTCTGCCGATATAGCGGTGCATTCCTGCTTTCTCTCCTGCCCACTGGGTGCTGCTCTGTGTCCCAGCGGGGAGGAGAGAAACTGTCACAGTAGGCCAAGCACTGCGGGAGGAGAGCGCTGTGAGCGGCCGGCGTCTCTCCATCCTGCACCATTCAGCCTCCTGTCACAGATCAGAGGAGAGCGGCTGTGTGGGTGAAGACAGCCAGCGCTGTCACAGGAGGCTGACCGGTGGTGCGGGGGAGAAGTCAGCTGTCAGATTGAGCTCTCCTCCCTGCACCACTCGCTCAGCCTCCTGTGACAGCGTGTCAGGAAGGAGAGCAAGGTACAAACACTCAGCGATCAGTGATCGCTGAGTGTTTGTTAATAATTGAGGACATAGTATGTTAGCTATATCCTCAATTATGAATGAATGGGAAGTGATCTATATCACCTCCTGTTCATTCATGATTGTGGATATAGTAAAAACACTATATCCACATGTTATAAATGATCAGGAACACTCAGTACAGAGGCTTTCTGTTCATTTATAACAGGGGCTGCAGAAAAAGAGATTGAGGGCTCTGTGTTCTCAATCTCTTTTTCTATTTCTGTTAAGACCCCTAATATTTCCCTGAAGCACCTAAAAGTAAAGTAAAAAGTAAAAATATTTAATAAAAATAAATAAATAAAAATAAAATGTAAAAACATTTAAACATTTTAAAAAAATGAATATTTTTTTTTTAAAAGGTTAGAAAAAAACATTTTCGGTTTTTGGCCCGGCATTTTTTTTTCATTTCGGTTTTGTTTTTAAAATGTTAATTTCTGTGCACCTCTAATAATGTTACATTGTTCAGACCATAGATACCCTTTAAAACTCCTTGACACTTTTAATGCTCTTTGTGCACCTATTTGGGTTTCGCCCTCTCAATTTGTCCTTGTGAACATTGTCATCAAAACAAAATATAATGGGCTCGACAGTCAGCCCGATGACGAGGCGCATGCGCAGGCTCCTGCTAAGATGGCCACGTCACCCCGCTCCCGGCCTGCAACGATACCTGTGGCGGTGTGGGAGGCCCCCTGGACCTGGCCCGTCTAACAGCGCGGATGTCTCCGAGGGTGGCTTGGATCCAGACGCGGCGGTAGTATCCTTGGGAGATGGCGGGTGGCTCCTCCCCCCGGCTTGTTGACGGTCTGTAGATGCGCCGGACGAGGGTGTTAGGCGCCCGCATGGAGAGAGGGGAGAGGTGAGGCTGCCTACGGCTATCGATGCTGCCAGTCTGGGTGGACTTCACAGTGTTGGTCCGGGTATTGATGGAGCAGCGCCTCACTGTGGGAACAGGTCTCTCTACTGCTATGAATCTCTGCACCTACCCCTATACATACTAAAGTTGCAGTATATATGAAGCACTGTTGGATGCTATGAGCCCACTTTCTTCCAGCAAGACGCAGACGAAGTGGATATGAACCAATGGCATTTGTTTTGAGTCCACTACCTTACAGTTGAACCGCAAGTATGAACTTAAACTACGAATCCTATAGGAAAACAATGACAGTGGCCTTAGCCTGATTAAAGACTTTATGCTGGTATTGAATTAACAGCACTTATTGGTGGACTAAAAGCTGGGTGACTTATAAATGTCATAGACCTCTGCTATCTGTTATAGTATAGTCACAGCATAGACCCTGTGGCTGACCTAGCGACCACTGGTTTAAGTATTTTTTTTCTGACCTATCTCTTTGCTCTGTAGTGGGGAATTAATAAATATATCTACAACATCTAATATACCTTGATGGCTGGATGGAGACCGAAAAAGTCAAGAAAACAGACACAGAGGCAACAGCCTGTGACCCAGAAGTCCAAGATGGCTGCAGTGTCATCTCCCTCTATACAGCAGAGGCAGTCGCAAGCCAGGCACAGTGATGTGGAGGACTCCTCCGACTCCATGCATCGGACCACAGTGAGTACAGATTCTCCTGACCAAAAATCACCTGCTTCTACTGTTTCTCTGATTGAACATACAATAGAGGAGATATTGTCCAAACAGAGGGCTTTCCCAGCAGATTATAAATCTCCCTGTGCGTTGAAAGGTGACCAGGCTTTAATGGATATGGCCGATGATCACCCTCTGATTACCAAACTGTCGGACATGTTAGACAAGGGGCTAGCACCTACCGCAAAACAAATCACAACAGACATTAAAGCGGATTTACAGGAATTGGGCACTCGGATCGATGCTATTGAGCAAAAAGTAGATGCTACGGTCACTCGCCTCAATAAAAATACAGCCTATATTCAAACAGTACAGGCTCAATTAGATGATGCCCTGGCTAAAATTTACGACCTTGAAAATCGGTCTCGGAGATGTAACTTCAGGATCAGAGGACTTCCAGAGTCGGTTACCGATCTAGAAGCTACGGTCAGATTATTCTTAAAAGTCATACTTCCTGATATAACTGACCATAAGTTAGAACTGGATAGGGTCCACAGGGCGCTTATTGCACCCGCCCTGATGGCCCAGCCCGGGACATCCTGGTTAAAACACACTTCTATCAGACTAAAGAAAGGTTGATGGCTAAAGTCCGGAATATCCCAGATCTACAGATTGCATCTCATCCGATACAAATCTTTGCTGATATTTTCCCGGTCACTATTCAGAAAAGGAGAACCTTAAGGCCCCTTCTTCAAATCTTATCAAAGCACGCTATTAAATACAGATGGGCCTTTCCATTACGGGTACACTTTTTTTTAAGAATAAACCTCACTCCTTTGCTACTTTTGCAGAAGGTGAAGCATTGCTCTCACAACTGGGCCTGTCTGTAACAGAACTTTCACAACAA